GGTGGGTAGAGTCTCTGCTGTGGCAGGACCCCTCTGTGTGCACATCCTCTCTGTGGGCAGGGCCCCGCTGTGGGAAGGGCCTGGGCCGCAGGATGAGGAGGCGGGCTCTGTCCTGGGGGTGGGCCATCATGCGCCATCACACCTTGTCCTTCCTGCCCACGCCCACCCAGACAGGTCCCTACCCACGCTCACGGGCCGGAGGGCAGACAGGTGGGGGAGCAGGCAGCTGTGACTCTGTGCCCCACAGTGGGTTAAGGACAGAAGACGGGCTTCCTAGAGGAGGCAGCATCTGCACCGAGCTCTGCAGGGTGATCCGGGGCAGGCAGTAGAGCCCTCTCGCTCAGAGTAGTCTGTGCCTGGTGACCCACGGTCGCACCATTTACGGGTGTGGTGTGCTATACACAATCACAGTGCGGGACAACCCAGTGAGGGTGACTGCCATGACAATCAGCACTTCCTTATGGCGACAACATTCAGACCCCTGTCCCCTCGCTTCTGGCGCCTTTGAAATGCACTGTGGGTTATTGTTAACCGTGGTCGCCCTGCCGTGCATGAGCCCGGAACCCACTCCTCCCTGTCACCGTAACTTCCCACCCACTGACCTCGCCCCACTCCCACCCTGGAAACCTGTCCTTCGCGGCGACACAGGCGAGCTGCGTGAAGTCAGCCAGGCACAGCCGACGCCGCACACTCAGCCACTGGGGCCGAGCTCTGTCCTCCCTGGGCGAGAACCGGTGTGGTCGGCTGTGGTCGGCCATGACCAGCACTGTCCTGCGGCTGAGCAAGTCGGGCCTAGCGCATAAGAGACTGTCCCGGGTCACACAGCAGGCCCAGCGTGCAGGGCCCACTCCCCGCCCTCGCCCTCGCCCTGGCACGGGGCTGGGACTGGGACTGCCACGGCCGCGGTGTCAGGGCTGATGGACCCTGTGCCCAGCAGGCCCCCGCCCAAGCACACGCTGAGCCGCGTCATGGTGTCCAAGGCCCGCGGCAAGGACCGGCTGTGGAGCCACACGCGGGAGCCACTCAAGCAGGGGCCGGTCCAGAAGCACCTGGGCAGGGGGGAGAT